ATTAGGACAAATATGCTTTTTCTTCAAGGAATTTGGACATGGAAGTAGCTGACTTTCTCAACTTCCTTCCCTTCTCTTGCTAAGTTATCTGACATTTTAACCCACCCTTACCACCTTCTCATCCTCAGAGAAAGAAGTGTCCTTAGTCATTTCTGAGATTTCTGAGATTTCCAGACTCTCCACGTGCTGGATCCCACTGCCGCTCACATTTTCCATGACCTTGCTCCATCTACTATTTTCATCTTCTCTTATACTTGCAGTCTCATTCTCGTCTGAATCCTTTCCCCAGACCTTAAAAACATGCTTAAGTTTTCCCTATCCTATACACAAACAAATGAACCTTAGCTCAACTTTTCATCCTGTTTCATCACTTTCCTTCCTTTCAGTGACATAAGAGTAATTTGTACTCCTTAAGAGTAATTTCTAATCATTACCCTTACTTAATAACCCTCACCTACCACTTTAATCCAATTTCTGTCCCCCACAAACTACTCTCTCTCAACAATCAACAACTGGCGGAAATGCCATATTCAAAAGCCTATTTTCCAGGGTCACCCTACTTATTCTCTTCACAGAATTTGAAAATCTTTATCATCCCCTCCTTGAAATCTAACCTTTCTTCTGGCTTTCTCAACACTATTCTACCATTTCTCCTTCCTTTGCCAGGCTCCTTCACTGGCTTTTAACTTTCAACCCTTAAAATGCTTGTTTTCTCCCGGAGTTCTATCCTCAGGATTCTCCCCATCATCTTATCCATTCTGATCATTTCAAGCATTGTCCACATGCAAATGCCTAGCATGAAGTACATGTTAAGTGAATGTTTACTGAACTGAAATCAATGAGTCCCAATTTTTTTCCCCGTAATTCAAACTGCACCCCTGAGTTCTAAAAACTGTATTTGCCACAGTCTAAGAAATTGCCTGGATTTCCTGAGAGCACAAACTAAACATGTCTAAAACTTCATTCACTTTTTCACAAGCTTGCATTCCCTCGTGTGTTACTTTTCAAAATTAGTACCACCAACCAACCAATTATCCTGAACTGCCTTTCTCAATCCCTATGTCCAAAAGGTTACCACACTCTCCTCACTCTTTTATCCTTGCCATTTCCACTTCCATAGCACCTAAACTCACATGCTCGATGCCTTAGTCTCTCCCATCTCAAATTCATGTTCTACTCCTCCTAAGTAACTATAAATGCTACACATCTTAAGAATGTAAATACTACTACCACTACAAATTACCCCAAATGTCTAAACCCTTGGATGATGAGGATGATAAAGATATGAAAACAGCTAATACTGGGAGATTTCTATAACCACACAGAGATTAAAAGGATTTTATCCTTCTAATAATCCTCTACTGTAAACACTACTAGTATCCTCTCCCTTTTTTTTAGAGTGGGGGGAGAAGAGCAGAGGGAAAGGGAGAGAGAGAATCTTAAGCAGGCTCCACGCCCATGCAGAGCCCAACATGGGGCTCGATCTCACAACCCTGAGATCATGACCTGAGCTGAAACCAAGAGTGGGACGCTTAACCAAATGAGCCACCCAGGCGCCCCTGTACTGAGTTTTCAAACTATTTTTCTTTGGTGTTTCTAGTGCCTGCTTTTCAAACTGGAGCACAGCAAAATCACAGGGGGGTGTGGTGGCGGACTTTCAAAGTCTACATTTTTAGCAAGGACCCTAAGTAATTCTGATGAACCACAGACCACACTTGAGCTACACTTCTGGATGCTCACAAGCAATGTTCTCTCCAACTTGAAATTTCATACAACCATGAAAACTAAGCCTACACTGGCAATTTATGTTACATCCACTAAAACTAGAAGCAAAACTAATATGATACACAATATCTAACTTTTATACTGAGGTACTGTGCTGAGTATTTTTAAATTTCCTTTCATTTAATCCTTACCACCATATGAAGCAGATATCATCATCATCATCACCTATTTTACAGATAAGAAAGTTAAGGGTTAGAAAGTTATTCACATTCCCAAAGCACATGGCTCCTAGGTGGTGGAAAACAGATATTAAACCCAGACTGTCTATCCAAAGCCTATATGCTAATATGCCACCTCTCCATTTGTAATATGCCTATTTGACATTTTATTAAGACAAAAGGAGGGAAAGCACAAAACAAACCTCACCTTCTTCCCCATTTTATCTACAGTTAACACTGTTGCCTAGTTACCTTCTCTAAGCATTTCACAGTTCCTAATGGCAAACCAGTTTGCCATGGAGATGGCAGGCACTGAAGGTGAGAAGTTTAAAATATGTCAGGGATAGGTGCTTGGATGACTTTATAGTAGTCAAGAGAAGGAAGTTCTGGATTAACAAATGGTTATCTTTAACCCTGGGGGAATAAAGCAACTGGATAGGGATGCGGCAGAATAGGGATGCCCCTCTAAAGATTCTGAGACCTCAAACTCAGAGGCATTCAGGCCTAACAAAGGTTAGGGCATCCAGTTCAATTAACAGACACCCTGAAGTTGGCAGCCTTATCTAGATAGGCCCTGGAATTTGAGTCATATGAGGTTTACAGAACTACAGACCCTTCCTCTCTACCAGTCAAGATTTCTACATTTCACTGAGGCTGGAAACTGGTGATAATCTTCCTTTAATCAAAATGGGAGTACCAGTGATTAAAAAGATTCTCCTTTTTCCCCTCCTCTCCTTCCAGATTTAGTCTGAAGAAAACAGCAAATTATCTTGTTTGTGTTACGAAGACTTGAAATCTGAAATCCGAAACTCCTACTCTGCTACTAGAGTGAAACAAGACATTCTTAGGAAGGAAGCTATCAGACATCCACTTCAGTGTAACTTAATGACAGGCACTATTCCTTTCACATCTAGTTGAGCGTGCTGCACTAGAGGAAAGTTTTTATTTTCTGGGTTTTTGTTTTTTATTTTTGGTGGGGAGACACGGGGGAAGCTTTTAAGAAGGGTTAATTTTACAGCATGAATGGAATGACAGATCTGAGAGAGGGGAGCTTTGGGAAACATGAAGAGTGGGCACATGAGGAGACGGAGATCCCAGAAAATAGAGTCCTAAAGAGCAGAAGAAAAGAACACCTTCCTCCACTCTTTGCCAATACTTAATTTAACCGTGCTCTCCTCAGGTTGCTGCTCTGCTTTAAGGGGCACACAGTTGAGAGGGTAGCCACATTCTGTTATCAGACTGGGGTCACCACCTCCTCCTCCCCCTTCCACTTTCCACACTATGCGGGCTCCCGAAGGCTGAAGGCAAATTGAATTATGTTCACCAGATACATCTAAGAGTCGCTTCAAAACCTAAGCCCATGTAATTTTGCTATGTTATATATATCCAGGTTCTATCTTACATACCATGAAGCTATCTTCTTAATATAAAAGACATGGTTTTGGAGTACCACCCAGGAGAATTCAAATATCAATTTTACCACTTGTTACTTAACCTCTCTAAAACCTACCGTGAGAGTTAAAATGAGATCTTGTAGGTAAATCACCAAACATACAGCAGGAACTCAGTAAAGTGATAACTATTATTTGAGGGGGAGGAGGATTCTAGTACTTTTAACAACAGAAGTTAAAAAAACATTGCATTTTCAAAGGGTTTAAAACAGTATTCTTTTTCTGATTAGAAAACACTATTGATCATTTTCCAGGGCAATCTCTGTAAAAAACGTATCCATTGTCTAAAATCTTTGATAAAATAAATAGTAAGAAAGATTCATCCTGCTCCCTGCGTTTCTGAAGGGACCCTTGAAATCACTTAACAGTCTCTTTTATTTGGTTGAGAAGTACTGTACTAAGTTTCCTGAAATTTCCAGTAATTCTGACTGAAAGACTCTAAAGAAATTCTCTAGACAAGGGAAAAACAAAGGTATATGTCTGTAGTATTACTGCATAAACTAAAAACCACCCATTTCTTTTTTTTTTTTCAGTAGTTTCTAAAACGAAGGCAATCAGATGACAAATCTCTCTCCACTTTCACAATTTGAATTTCTTTTTGAGTTACTTTATGAATGACTCCAGTGGAACCCAACAGCTCCATTCAGAACCAAGAAAGCTCCCAAGTACATAGAAAAACAACAGGGTTTTTTTGGTCCCTAAAATAACAACAAGGAGACAATCGGTGGATTTGTTTTTTTAATAAAACAAATCGTTTTACATCTATACATCAGTATTTCATTTTTTAAAAAGATTTTATTTATTTTTTTGACAGAAAGCGACACAGCGAGAGAGGGAACACAAGCAGGGGGAGTGGGAGAGGGAGAAGCAGGTCTCCCGTCGAGCAGGGAGCCCGATGCGGGGCTCTATCCCAACCTGAGCTGAAGGCAGACGCTTAACGACTGAGCCACCCAGGCGCCCTCACTATCAGTATTTCAGAGAGACACCCAGACTCTAAGATAAAGCCCATAAACCTTCCAAAGGCATCTTCCTTAACTTCTTTCTTGCTACCCACTTATCAAGTCTTAGGAAATGCTAACACGCTCCCAGCCTCACGTCTCTTCAGGGATCCAAATCTGCTATGCTAATGAATTCGATCTTTACAATCTGAAACTGTTTTTGCGAAAGAGAAATACTTAGCAGCAGACATGTGCTATATTAACATTAACCATGTCACTTAAAGTGACAAACCACTCCTAGCCTCACCCTCAAGGGAGGGTAAGCAGTAACCGGTCGGCGGCCAGAATCCCAGGTTTATCATTAACAAGTCTCAGCCCAACTACAAGGTTAGCGGCTGCACCTGCACTATACGGGACCCGCGCAAGGTCGGCGGAGCAATGAACGAGACAAACGGAGCGGTGGAGAGGGCGCGGGGCTCGCCCCGGGAAGGCGGCTCCGCACCACCCGGGCCCCGCCCCGGCCCCGCCCGGGCCCCGCCCCCGGCCGCCCCGGCCCCGCCCCCGGCCGCCCCGCTCCGCGGTAGCGCCGCAGTCCCCGCGCGAAAGCAGCGCGCGCCCGGGACCCCTTCCCGCCGCCTTCCCCTCGCTGCGCAGTCCCCAGCACGTACCTGCTTTGCAAACCGGGGCGCTTGGGCTCCTCCTCTCCGGGGAACTACGGCTCTGCTCCGGGGACCTTCTCCGGTGCCGGACGCGGGCTGGGGGTGGGGCCGCGCTCACCTCGCCAGTCCACAGGTGGGTGGGCGACGAGCAAGGCGACGACACGGTGCCCAGCAGCGGCGGCGGGGGCTGTGGCCGCGGGGGGCTCCCGCGAGCCCCGGGCGCGGCGCCGCGCGTGGGGCTGGTGCCTCGCGTGGACGTCGCGGACGCGCCCGTCTGCGTGGCCACAGTGGGGCTGGTGCGCGCGGCCGCACTCCCGCCGCCGCGCGTGGGGCTCGTGCTGCGCGAGGCGGTGCGCGGGCCGCCGCCGCCGCCGCCGCCGCCGCCTGAGGGGCCTGAGGCGCCACCACAGCAGCCGCCGTTGTTGCCGCCGCCGCCGCCGTTGCTCCGCGTGGGGCTGCCATGTTGCTGCTGCTGCTTCAGCTGGAACGGAACCGTCGCCCTCATGGGTTGCAGGCGGCTCCCGGCTCCCCCGGCCGTGGCGACCGCACCGCCCCCGAGGGAGCCGGCCGGCGTGGGGGACCCATTGCGCCTCACCCGCTGGGACATGGTCCCCCCCCTCCCCGGTGACTGGGCGAGACGGGGGGGGTTGTTGTTGTTGGGTTGCAGGGGCTGGATTCTCGAGGCCGAAGGGAAGGTCCCTGCGACGGGGTGACGAAGCCGGAATCCGGGGAGCAGGGGGCGCCCGGGCCGCGGCCGGCAGCAACGAGGTGGTGCAGCCGCCGCCGCCTCTCCTCCTCATCAACAATAGTGTCTCCTCCGCTGCCCCCGCCCCCCGCGAACGCCCATTGGTGTAGCGTCAGCCGCGCTCGAGCCGCTCCACCGCGCCCATTGGCTGCTAGCAGCTCGGGTCCCGGGCCCCCGGGGCCTTAGAGAGCCTGGGTTTGCGCGGAGACCGTCTGCTCTTTAAAGAGAAAAAGACCCCGCCCCCCGGGGAAGGGGGAGCGGAGGAAACAGGCCGTGTGTATGTGTAATGTGTGCGCGCGCGCGTGTGTCTATGTGTACACGTGAATGTACGCGTACGCGCGCCTGGCCACGCGCGTCTTTCCCTTCCCACTGGGGGGAGCCCTGGGGACTCAGACTCTGGAATGTTGCGAAAGGAAATGTCCTGAACGAGAGCGGTCCCCAAGGATGTCTCTTTTCCCCATAACTCATTTCCTTACCTCAGTTTTAACGCGCAGAGGATGTGTAAGTTCATCTTTTTTTGTTCTGTCCTAATTCCGTCAACGTTTGGACAGAGCTCAAAGAAGAAATTTAATTAATCTTATTGGCATTTTACTCCTCGTCTCCTTTTTGGGGGGTTTAAATCTCTACAAAGAGCCAAATCTCAAAGATTAAAATTGCTTCTTAGAATGTGGTTTTAGATCGTATCTATGAAGTCCAGTTACCAAGTGATTTCGCCACCTTCCAGTATCTCGAGTCATCAAGAATTTATTTTAATCAGCTACGTCACAGTTCCTTGATACTTTGGAAAGATGTGTGCTACCTTAGTTTGTAAATTGCCATAGTTTGCAAAGGGATTTATTTGATACATCGTTATTTGAGACAGAACTGGACCAGCCATTCATATTTTTGTTTAACGAAGGAAACAGGTCTTTGTAGTATGGGCAAGAACTTAGGAAGACAGGCAGTAACACTAGTCTAAAATCTTAGGAGTTCCTTATCAAGACCAAAAGAAAGGTAGACCCATAGACCACATACTGACTTCTCCGGCTACAAATTGCCTGTCCATGACCTCTTTTTACTAGGTTATTAGATGTACATTCTAGACAGACTTTGTCTTGTAAAAATGTGAGCGTGGAGGGCACAGTATGATTTGCTTTGGACCTGAAATTGTACTGGGACCCTGTGCACTGTGGAGGAAAGCCTTCGAAGACCCCAGACCCACCATTTACTCTGTAACCTTAAATAGATCACTAGCCAGTTTCCTTATCTGTAAAATGCAGAACCATCTCCTTCATACAATTATGATTGTTAACCAAGGGTTAAAGGAGAATACAGTGTGTAGAAGATACTCAGTAATTCCAGAGTCTCCATGAGATTCAGAGGCCCACATCTCTCCTTATCACCAATTCCTCCTCTCTCCCCCACCACTAAAAGGACCCCAAGCCCTTGACCCATGAACCTGCCTTAAGTTGGCTGGTGCTCTGGATAGATCTGACATCACTACCCATCCCAACAACCTGTGGTAAGACAAAAACAGTGCTCATGAGACAGGACACACAGGGAACTGCCAACAAGATCCACGCAGATAGTGAAGTCCCATCTTAAAACAATGAGTAAGAGAGAAAATAAACCTTTAAATAAAGATGTCATGGACGCTGTATATGACACTTCTGTCCTGCACAAAGCAGGAGCTCAGTACATACTTAAGTGAATTAAACTGAGGGAGTTCAGCAGCCGTCACGTTTGGGCCTTCCTGATCAATTTTCTTTTCCTGATGAGTTCGAGATTATTATATTTTTGCCTACCCTTTTAATTCATCCCTCCATCCTCAGTGTGTTTATTTTTCTTTTTTTAATTAAAAAATGTTTGAGTATAGTTAATACACAATGTTATATTATTTCAGGTGTGCCTGATCAATTACTTTTGATGTCACCAAACTAGAGAGCTATTTGTAGGGGCAAGAGACTTTTAGCTTTTCTGAGCTACTGTGCTGATTTCAGCACATAATTTCATTAGATCAAAGAGTTAAAGTGTCCTTGGCTCAATCATGAGTTCACCTTCTGCTTCTAGTCATGTTTCTTATAGAAAAAACTCTACTTTTCCAGAAAATGTTCTTAGGATGTCATTCAAGTTATGTATGAAGTTGAAAAAGCATCATATTGAAATTGGTTTATCTGTATTTAAACTCCAGAAGACAACATTACTGATAGGCTCATTTGCTTCTGTGTTTTCTTAACTCTTAAAGTGATCTTATTGGGGTGCCTGTGTAGCACAGTGGGCTAAGTGCCCAACTCCTGATCTCAGGGTCAGGAGTTTGAGCCCCACATTAGGCCCCATGACCTGTTGGGCCCCATGTATGTTGGGCTCCATGCGGGGTGTGGGGCCTACTTTAAAAAAATAAAAAATAAGTGATCTTGTTATAGTAAAGGAGGGTGGATTCTGAGAAAAAGTTTATCTTCCTGTAGTTTTTTTTCTTCTTATAGTTTTAACAGAGTCAGCCATATCCTTTTATAAATCTCTACAATGTCATCTAATGGAACATAATACAGCCACTAAAATGATAATTATGAAGTCATAAATTCCTTTCACTTTTAAAATGGAAAAACTAAAATGCATCCATTATAACTGCAACAATACAAAAATGTTTATGTATTATAAACAAATATTGAAGGATAAAATACTAATATGAAAATAAAATAGTCATTTTTAAGGTGGAATTTGAGGAGGTGTTTCTTTCCCTAAGAAATACTGATACAATAGCCCCGTTATCTATGGTTTTGCTTTCCATGGTTTCAGTTACCAACAGTCAACCTCAGTCTGAAAGCAGATGATCCCACTTCTGACAAATAGTCAGAGGTCAGTATTAGCCTTACTCTATGTCACAATGCCTACGACATCCATGTCACTTCATCTCATCTTGTAGGCATTTCATTTCACATCATCACAAGAAGAAGTGTGAGTACAGTCTATTTTGAGAGACCACATTCACATAACTTTTACTGTAGTATATTGTTCTATTTTATTACAAGTTACTGTTGTTAATCTCTTACTTTGCCTAATTTATAAATTAAACTTTATCATAAGTATGTATGTATGGGGAAAAAACATAGTGTACATAAGGTTTGATACTATCTGCAGTTTTAGTCATCCACTGGGGGTCTTGGAGTGTATCCCCCTTGGAGAAGAGGAGACTACTGTATACAATTTCCTAATTAAGGAGGAGAATGATCAGAACTTAAATTGCTGAGTGATGTTCTGTACTCAAAATCTGACAGCTACTTCACTGAGACTTTTGTCTAAGACCATTTCTTTTTTTTTTTTTTTAAGATTTTATTTATTTAGGGTGCCTGGGTGGCTCAGTTGGTTAAGCAACTGCCTTCGGCTCAGGTCATGATCCCAGGGTCCCGGGATAGAGTCCCACATCGGGCTCCCTGCTCAGCGGGGAGTCTGCTTCTCCCTCTGATCCTCCCCTTCTCAGGCTCTCTGTCTCCCATTCTCTTTCAGATAAATAAATAAAATCTTAAAAAAAAAATTTTATTTATTTGTCAGAGAGAGAGCACAGCAGGGGCAGTGGCAGGCAGAGGGAAAACAGGCTCCCCGCTGAGCAAGGAGCCCTTTGCAGGACTCGATCCCAGGACCCTGGGAACATGACCTGAGCTGAAGGCAGATGCTTAACCGACTGAGCCACCCAGGCGCCCCTATCTAAGATCATTTCATGAAAGCTTTCCATAGCATCACACATTCCGGTGTTACTCTTACCTCTCTACTCCTTGGTCATTTCCTGGCTTCTTCTCAATCTGACCCTTAAATGGTGAGAGTACCTCAGGACTCTCTCCCAAGCCTTGGACTCCACTCACTCCCCAGACAGATGGTTCCATTTGTATGCAGAATTCCACTGACCAACACACTGCCATCTATTTAGCTGCCTGCTTGGCATCTCGCCTTGTATACCTCACAGGGGCCTCAAACCTTGTCCACAGCCGAATTCGTCATCTTCCCTCCACTCACCCACATACAACTGGCTCCTCTTCCAGTTTTCCCTCATCTAAATAACCAGTGCCATTATCTACTCAGCAGTCTAAAACAAAACCCTGGAAGTCATCGTGGCTCTCACACTCCATTAGGGCAAGTCCAATGACTCACCATATCTTAACTACCCGAGCTTTTAAATACTTTGTGAATCTACCGCTCTTCTCCAAATTCACCACCTCCTCCAGCCATGCCTCTATCTTCTCTGGTCTGTATTCTTACACTTACCTAGGCAGTCACCCTAGATCATCTTTGCCCCAGCCTACTTCTCCAAGCTCCCCATTCCTCACCTGTAATCCATTCCCCACACATCTAGAGTAGTCTTTTAAAACCACAAACTTAATCACCTTGCTCTACTGTCTGAAGCTTTCCATTTCTCTTAGGATAAAGCTCCCAGTCCTAAGGCTTATCACACATTCCATGGGCCCACCTCTTCCTCTCTACGCTCCAGACATACTGTCCTCTTTGGTTTCCCCCAAATACCTCATACTCTCATCCTGAGGCCTTTACACTTGTTATTTCCTCTGCATGAACACTCCTCACTCTCATCACTAGGCCAATTCCTGATCCGTTCTTAGATCAGGGAGGCCTGGGTTGTCTTGCTCCCCACTTAAATTAGTTTCCTTTTTTTAAAAAAGATTTTTAAAATTTATTTATTTTTGAGGGAGAGAGAGAGCACGAGCAGGGGAGAGGGGCAGAGGGAGAAGGAGACTCCCCACTGAGCAGGGACCCAGATGCGGGGCTTGATCCCAGGACCCTAGCATCTTGACCTGAGCCAAAGGCAGACACTTAACCGATTAAGCCACCCAGGCGCCCCTTAAATTAGCTTCCTCAGGTTTACAGTAACACCATACTTCCCTGTTGTAGTCATCATAACACATTATCTTCAGTATCTGTATTTTCTTGTCAATGTTAAGCTCTACAAGAGTTTGTTTGTTCACTCAACAAATAGTCATTGGCAGCCTTTTCTGTGCAGAGCACTGAGGCATTGGCTCTGTAGCCATGAACAAACCCACAAGCTCATTGTCTTCTTGGATTTACATCTGCAGGAGATAGATAATGAGCAAAACAGGCATGCGTGCATGCACACATAACCACACATGTAAATAAATTACCACCTGCAAAGTTCTATAAAGGAAACCATAGAGTGCCATGAAC